ACCTGTTTTTGATTCTTTAACATGGTCCAGGTTCTGTCTTGTATTCACACCAAGATCATGAAAATCTCTACGACGACCTCCTCTCTCTGCTAATGATAACTCCTGAAACCCAGCAGATATCTGGAGTTCTTAAAAAAAAAAAATTATACACCTAAGCAATATGAAACATGAAATAAAGAATGACAATACTAATTTCCAAAGTACTATTATATGAAACCCAAAGGCTACTGAGGTGCTAAATAACAATCCCATCAAAATGTTTTAGGTATCTGCCAGCCAAAGAGGGAACTAATCCCATAGCTGTAACTTCTTCCATAAAGTCTTTCCTGTCATTGCCCTAGGCAAATTAAGTTGCTCCCTTATAAGATATATACACCTTTAAAAGGGCAAGACAACGGGACTATGATTCAAGAACTTAGGAGCATGTTTGTTGACCAGGAAATTATTTTTCTGTACCATAAGTCTGCTAACAACCTAAGAGCCTTAAATCGGTATCTTCTACAAGTTTTGTGATGCAGTTATAGCCAAAGGAATTGGTAGTTTATGCAGTTTAAATGTATAACATGAATTAGAATATTTAAGTCTAAAATGGGTCTAATTCCCTTAAGAACCAGCCCAATGGATGGGATGGGCCTGTGCATATCCCATGGCCATGACGCACATCTCCTATTGGGACAGATCACTGTCACTTCATGCTTAGTTGCAAAAGCTGTGGTTATAATATCCTAAATTATTAAGTCCTTCAATTTGTGTAAAATATATAATTAAATATCTCATATTGATAGTATGATGTGGGCGAAAGAATGAACATGGGCTTTGTAGGCGGGTGTCAAAATCCTAGCTTTCAATTGATACATGTGTTGTCTTGTGCAGTAGAGACTATTAGTTGACTAGCCAATAATCAATCTCTCACTTTTTAAAAAAAAAAGTTTATTTTCAGAGTAATATGCCTAACAGACTAGAATTTCCACCTTCCTTGTGGGTAAGGATGGCCTAAGAGATTTAAGCAGAAATTACTGGATGAAACTTCTGGGCAAGTGCTTCAGGAGGAGAGTTGATGACTGGCTTTTATGTTCTCCATGCTCCTTGCTCTGCTAATGTTGCCTGGAATCTGGATGCGATCACAAGAGGGAGCTCAAACATACATTCTGAACCCAACATAAATCTTAATGATGCAAGTCATGGACTCAGGACAACAAAAACAAAAAAATCAAAGAGCCCAGTTCTCTTCCGACGACAAATGCCAGAATTAGCCCAGAACTGCCAACTTTTAGACTTCATTAGAGAAGAAACAATAGCTTAAACAAAATATATCAGTTCCTGATATACCTTGGAAACAAATTACTGTGAGCTTCAATTTCTTTACCTGAAAAATTGACAATAATAAACTTCACAGGCATGTAATAAATTTTAAATGAGAGTATCATTTATAAAGCACTTTAAAGGTGCTGCTAAATATGTTGGTTCCTGTACCTCATGATTTTCAGGGGTTTTATTTAAAAGTCCTTTAAATATGTCAACTGTTTACATTTGTCTCTCTGTTAACTTTTCATCCCAAAGACTTTCAGTTTAAAGTATGCACGGCCTTGGGTAGTTAACTATACTAACACAGGTCCAGCATACTGAATCCAACCTGATAACAATAATGGGTCATAAAGGCTTGATTTGATGATTTTAATTTCTCCCTGGAAATTTCGAATTTGTCTTAAAAAAATGCAGTTCTGGATGCAAAAATCTGATTGCAAGTTTCTGAATATAAGCAATGATGAAGACTGTTCTTCTTTCTACATATAGTACTGCTATTACTATACTTAGCCAAAGGTTGATGAGCTGTCAATCTATAAAGATGACAGACTTCAGAATGGACAAAATTGGAAATCTTGCTAATTCCTCCTTCCATGCAGCTGCCAAAGTGATTTACTGAAACCACAAATCAGATCTTGCTACTGTTCTATTTAGGAGTCCTTCAAGGTATCCACACCCCCCTTTAGAATGAAAATCAAGGGCCTAAACAATGTCTCATTAACAATAAATCAGTTAAACTTGTTGTTTTAATTCCTAAAACATAGCAGATATTTGAAAATTTACTGTGACAAGCACTTCCCAGGTATAGTACTTACAAAAGCAGCAAAAAGTGGTAAAATAGGGCCTTGCATTTTAATCATTACAACGATCCTTATCTATAAAGGTAGGTATTATCTTTTTACAGATGGGGAACTGAGTTTCATAAAATTAAATTTAAATTCATGAGTAACTGTTAAAAAAATTATTAATGAAGATCAATACAGAGAATGTTTAAAAATTAAAGTGTTGTCCACCATTTTATTTGCACATTAAGGCTGAATACAGAAATGTCTTTCAAACAGCTTCAGCACATCTTTTTGTACAGTTTTATTTCAATGAAATTTTTCTATGTTGAACACAGCTGAAGATGTCAAATATCCTATGTTTCAAAAGAACTGAGGCATCAAGATTAGAGGAGAAAGAGATTAGGTAAAATTCTATAAATTTAAAGAGGTTAATGTCCAGAAACGAATTCTCACCAAGCACCTTCATTAAAAAAATAAAACATCCTATACCAGAAAGTAACATGTAATTGGATATATATAGAAACAAATACAAGGCTTTTTTGGGGGAGGGGAGGAAGATTGTCCCTGAGCTAACATCTATGGCCAATCTTTCTCTTTTCTGCTGAGGACGATTGTCCCTGAGCTAATACCTGTGCCAATCTTCCTCTGTTTTCTATGTGAGATACCAAAGCATGGCTTGACGAGCAGTGTGTAAGTCCACACATGGGACCTGAGCCTGCAAAGCCTGGGCTGCTGAAGCAGAGCACACGAACTTAATCACTACACCACCGAGCTGATCCCAAGGCCTTTTGTCTTCTAGTTGACTCTTCAAAAGAAGGACTATTAACAAGTGATGTGTTTTTCCTCAAAATTTTCTATACAGAAATATACGCAGGTATTTACTTAAAATATAAACAATTCTGTTTTACAACTTGTTTTCATTTGAGATAGCTCAGGTGAATTTCTGTTCTTAAAAATGGCTCAATGGCACTCTATTGTTAAAGTACAGTAGCTTTACCTTACTCTAACGGGTTAGGTGTTTCCAGTTTCTGGGTATTAAGTATTGTAGTTAACATCCTTACACAATCATATTATACTTACCCAGTGTCTGTTGGATATATTCCCTTGAGTGGAAATGCTCGTAAAAGGGCATCATTACGTAATTATGTAATTGCTACGCATTACAAAATGCCATCCAAAAGTTAGCAGAATTAGACAATACAAGGAGCACAAGTGCCAGTTTTACAATTGGCAACACAGGCAAACAATAAAGTAATAAAGAATAAACAGGCAAAAAATGTCCACTTAAATTTAACGATGAGGTTTAACGTTTTCACTGGCCTCTGCATGTTTCCGTGCATTGCCCTTTAATTTCCTTTGTTACTTTCCTATCAGTTTGTTGATATCATGGATTTCTAGGAATGCTGTGTATCAAGGAAATTGTCTTCTATCATTTCAGTCAGTTTCCAGTTTGCCTTTTGACACTGACAGTATCCGTCAGTTCAATTTATACCACTTCAAGATTATTTTAGATTCATCCATGTTTTCTCCTAATGTTTACGCATTTCAGTGGTTATGACTAAATATCTGGAATACATGGGAATTTAATGCAAGGAATAAAGCAGGGAACCAGCTTTGTTTTCTAGTCATCCATTTGCGTCAACATTATTTTATTGAATAGCCCATTTCCCATGCCCAGCCCAGAGTTTAAAAGCCAACATTACTACATTAATTCCCCTTGTATGTATGGCTCTTTTTTCCCTATACCAAAATCAAACAATAACCATAGAAAAATCTTATATCAAGTAGTCAAATAACTCATTTTTGCAATAATGCAATGAAAATACACAATTTTGGGAATCAGAACTGGCACTCTGACTCTACCAGTTGTCACAATTTTGACCTCAGTTTTCGCATCTGAGAAACGGTGAACCAATACAACATACAAAAATGTGTTTTATAAATCAGTGTTACAAATGTTAAAGTTTTTGATGAAGCCACTAAAGATGTTGAGAGAATGTTCTAGTATGATCTCTTAATGCATAAGCAAATTTACGATTAGTGTAGAATTTATTTGCTTTGTACTTGGTAATGTTGGGGTCCTGGCAAGGATATGCTTTTTCACTTCCAAGGAGAAAAGAAATTCTGTGGTATCCCACTCAGTAGCAGAACGCAGTTTGAGAGAGATCCTCTTATACTTTAAGGGACCACGGGGACCCCTTTTAATTCATAAAGAGTGTGTACACTGGTTACCATTTCAGGTCTCATAGTACGTACGTGTGTACACACACACACACATGCACACACACAAGCTCTTTTTATTCTCCCTTCACCTTGTGACTTGGCTGTTGCTCCTACTGTTCCTCGCTGTCGTCCACGGCCAACCAATTCCCCCTCCGCTGGTGGCTGCTGAGATCTGGGCTGAATACAGCCAGGCTGCTGACTCTGCAGTTGTATGCAAATACATGTAGGTATATGTAGTCGAATGCAAATAAACAGCAATCTTATTGCGTCAAGAGTTCAGAGACATCAGAGAAAATAAGTAGTCTTAAACAAGTCTTAGGCACTCAACCAAAACTGATCTAAATTAGCAATCAAATATTTTATTCTTATAAAGAAATTTCTTCCATTAAAGTCAAGAACCAGCTTCTAACATCCTCAGGAAACAGAACACGATCTTCCTCGTTCAGCTCCTACCTCCTTCGCAGGACGCGGCTTTTAAACCGAGTGCCAACAACCTCGGCTGGTAAAGCCCTAACAACACCACGCTTCTGTTTGCACAGACCTCTCTACAGTTCGGACGGGCAGAGCACTCACCGCAGCGGCGCCCACGTGCTGCACCGTCTCCTGACCGCGCGCCCTTCCTCGGGCTCTCGCTCTGGCGCGTCCAGTCATTCTCCTTCCCTGCTAGGAAATGAACGCGAACGCTCAATGCACACGATCACATCCGCCCGTCTCGACAGTGCGGCCGTTGTCATCTTTGTAAAGATCGGCTTTTTACAGAGCAGGCCCGGCCCGGAGCTAACCGCGGCCCGTCTCCCTCCCGAGGCCCAGCGCACGGCTGTGCGGCGGCCGGGCAGCTCTCCCACGTGCGCGCGGCGGCGCCGACGTCCGTCCCCGCTGCTTTAGCTGAGATGCTAAAACGAGCGCTGGAGGAAGGACACGCCTTCCCAGGGCAGCGCCCTCCCCGGCGGGGCCGAGCGCGGGGGCCGACGCGAAGGCTTCCCCCAGCTGAGGACCTCCTCTCCCACGCAGTTACGAACAGACGCGCGGGGAAGCCGTCGAGCCTCGGGCCGTCCTCTCGCGCCGGACGCGCAGCCCGCCGCGTTCCCGGGCGCCGGCGGCCGCCCCGCGCCAGACCCGCCCGCCCCGCGCCAGCCCGCCCGCCCACCCCGGTCTCCCTCCCGCCGCGCCCGCAGAGTCCCTCCCGGTGAGCGCGCCACCGCCCACTTCGCCCCTCGGGAAAGTGCCGGAGCCGCCGCTCTGGGGACGGCGCCCTCACCGCTGCCGGCACGTCTGCCCGACAGCGCGCCGGCCGCACTCGTCAGCCCCACAGCCCGGCCCCTCCGGCCGCCAGTGGCCTGGGCTCCCGCCCACACCCGCGCAGGGCCGCCCGGCAGACGCCAGCGCCGGCGGGAAGGCTGTCGCGAGCCCGGGGACGGGCACGAGGCGCCCGCGGCCACGCAAGCAGACACGGCGCTGCCCCGGGACGCGGGGGACGACGAGGGGCGGCCCGCCCGGCGCGGCTGCGGACGCGGCCCAGAGGCGGCGCGCGCGGGGGAGCCGCTGCCCGAGCCCCCGTCCCGACCGCCGTCCCGGACCCACGGGCCCCGCTGCGGCCCTCCTCACGCGGCCCCCGCCCCGCGACCCACTTCCGACGCGGCCCACACGCGCCGCGTCCACACCGCACGCGAGCACCACGGCGCCCTGCCGGCCGCATCATTCTCGACGGCTCCGGCCGGCCCTGGGCGCGCCGCGGGGCGCGGGTGTCAGGGCGGCGGCCGCCCCCGGAGCCGTGAGGACGGCGAGCGGCCCCGCGGCCCGGCTCCTCCCTGGGCCTCCCCGCATCCGCGCCCCGCCGCACAGGGCGCACGCCGGCCGCCCCCTCCAGGCCCCGCTCCTCCGCCGCCCCCCGCGATGGAGAGTCCAGCCCGGGCCGGCCGCCCAGGGCTGGGGACGGCGCCGCGCAGGCCCCGCCTCACCCGGCTGGAGGCTGGAGCCCGAACAGAGGCAGACCCGACGTGCGGGTCCAGGCGACGTCCCCTCAGCGCCCGCCGCCGTCGCCCGCCGCCACCAACAGTTACAGGCCGCGCGCCAACGGTTATCCCGCCCCGGATCCCTCCGCGCCGGGACTTCGCGCCCGACGCTGGCCCGCAGCGGACCCCGGCCCTCCTCCTCCCACAGAGCCGCGCCGCCCGCCGTCCCCTCGGCGTCTGCCGTGGGCTCCCACGCGTGGGCGATTGCGGGACGCGGGCGGAAGTGGGCACAGCCCTCTTTTTCTGGGCGGATGGACACTGACTACAAGGGGTAACTGTGCTGCACGTGACACTGAGTAACGGCGCAGCGGAAGGCGGGCGTGCGACGCGCCCTGATTGGCTGCCCTGCGGATGGCAGTTTTCCGCGGGCTGCAGGTGGAGGCGGGGCCGGGTCAGCCACGCCCAGGCCACGCCCCATCCCGGCAAGGCTCCGCCCATCCTGGCAAGACCCCGCCCCATCTTGACGAGGCCCCGCCCAGGCCTCGCTTGGTCCCTGGAGCATAAGCACAGGTGGGTGACGAGGATGGGGGTGGGTTTGGTTCGTTCGCGGCTCTTGGGAGAGGGCCATGGACGTAAGACACCCTCGATAAACTGTGAACGTGTGACCAGGTGGGCTTCGAGCGCCCTGCTGTAAAAATGTTAATTTAATCTTGGGCTGCCTCTTAAAATTAGAAGCTATTTCGCTCATCAAATAAGAGATTCGAATTTTGCCCCAAAGAAAGTGAAACTGCATTCCAAGGCCAGGATGCCAGGCGGCTGTGTGCAACTTTCCAAATCAACAAATTGTGTGCTGAGTGTGCGAATGTTAACGTGTACCGCAGGGGTTCTCAAACTTTACCTGCATCCTGGATCACCTGGAGGGCTGGTTACACCACAGACCCCACCCCAAGAGGTGCTGATTCAGGGTGTTGGGTAGGCGGGACCCACTAATTTGCATCTCTAACAAGTTTCAGGTGAAGTTGATGCAGTTGGTCCAAGGTCCACGTTGATATGGGTCACTGAGTTAGATGCCCTCAATAGGAGTATATTTCTTCATTGGGCAAAAGCAACCCAAATAAAACTATTGTAAATATTGTAAAATCGAACAGAATTATTTGTTAAGCTGAGAAGTGGAACTGATAGTGACTAACTACGTGACTAGTTAAGTCCAACAATAATTCCATAGCTTCTTTCTAAAGGTGTGTGGGGTGGGTACCCGCAGTATGGTTGCTTCTAGGGACTTGTTTTAAAGCTGCATTTATGCAGCATTTTGTTTTTTATTTATATTTAGGCGTGTATACTTTGGCGGGGGTGGGGAGTGCTGGAGAGGGCTGAGGCCTCTCCTAGCCCCCTCCCCAAGTCCTACAGTCTCATTTGTGGGATGAAAGGAACAGGCTGGATTTCAGTGTTTCCCACACTAGCTTGATTGTAAAACAAAAGCCGGGATGGGAGGAGAACTTCTGAAAAACAGATTCCCAGATCATCCTGATTCAGTAGGTCTGGGATGGGAGCAAGGAATTTTCTTTTAACAAGAGATGCCAAGTGATTCTTATGTTCAGAGAAGGTTGAGAAATTTGAGGCAAAATTTGTGATCCTGACACCATTCACACTTAAAGAATTTATGAGAAAAAACAAGACACTTGAAGCCAGGAGTAGTTTGGGGGAAAAAAATGGCTTCACAAAAATTTTCACTTTTTAAAAAATAAAGGGCACAATTTGGAATACAATACGAACCTTAACTTTTCCAGGAATGATTTTAAGATGTTGGTGAAAAAGATGTTCTATGAAATTGCCAGCAGATGGAGCAATAAAATAAGAAATAGATCTTCGCAGCCTCAACATGAATGGACGTTAGAGGGCAGAAGTAACGCTTCCCCTCTGTTTTCTCCAAATGCCCAAACTCCTTGTAACTGCTGAAGATGCGTGCTAGTGTGAAATATCCCTAGTGTCTTGGTGTGTGTAATGTATGAAATGATTGGTTTCTAAAGATGTAAGAAGTTATGATACAAGATGTAGGCAAAACCCCTCATTCTTCTGATGGTGCAAACATGACATTTCACAAAGCTCCCAGAAAATTTAAAAAGAAAAGGTACAGAGAGAAAGTCGGGGAAATATTGATTTTTACAAGTTTCTATATTGACAGCAGGACCAGGGCCCTAGTGGCATCAATTATTGGATACGACTCTGTGCCTGACTCTGGAAATTAAGAAGTGAACAGATGGAGATTCTCCTTCCGGGAGCTCAGTCAAGAAGGGATGAACCCACACGGAAAGTCAGCAGAGTGCTCCAAATGATCTGCGTGCTTGGAGGGAGAGTTGGGTGGGGATCACTTCATGGAAATGATGCTGCTGAAGTCTTGAGGGATGAATGGGATTTGCAGGGAGCAGCAGGGAAAGCACGATGTAGCACTGTGATTGGAACAGGCAGGGGCTGTTTAGGAAGCTGCAGGTAATTTAGTACAGTAGGAGTGACAGGTAAATGTAGGGGGTCAGGTGATGCCATTGAAGGGACACACCAGGTTCTAAAGTTGAGTGGCAATGAAAACTGAACATCAAGACTGCTGACTCCAGACAGACACCCTGCTGGGTGCTGTGAATAAAATACACTCTCTGTGCGCTTGTTGATGATGCTGAGCCCCAGGCTGCCAACGCGGATGCACATCAGAGCTGGGCTGGTCGCTGAACAGAGGAGAAGCAGGGACTGTGACAAACAGGAGTGTAAACGCCTTACCTGAAGGTGTCAGTGACTTCTGGGTCCTAGCCAGTCCTTGCCAAGAGCGAATGAGATCCCAGATTTGCTGTGTCTAATGTTATTTCATTGTTGTTTGTTTTGTTTCATTGAGGTGAAATTCATGTGAGATAAAATTAATCATTTAACAGTGAACAATTCAATGACATTTAGAATATTCACAATGTTGTGCAACCATCACCTCCATCTAGTTCCAAAACATTTTCATCACCCCAGAATAAAACTCCCTTCCCATTAACGAGTCTCCCCATTCCCCTTTCTCCCCCAGCCCCTGGTCACCATAAATCTACTTCTGTCTCTATGGATTTATCTGTTCTGTTCTTTTCATACAAATGGAATCATGTGTGGTCCTTTGTGTCTGTCGTCTTTCACTGAGCATAATGTTATCAAGGCTCATCCACACTATAGCGTGTATCAGTACTTCATTCCTTTTCATGGCTGAGCAATATTCCATTGCATGGATGGAACACATTTTGTTTAGCCATCCATCAGTTGAAGGACGGGTCTAATGTTTTTAAAGAGAAGCAGGAACCTTGGACATCTGTGGACTCATTTTCATCTCATGGCCACTGAGCTCCTGACAGCTGTGCTGAGGAGCATTCCAGCGGAAGGAAACTGAATGAAGGAAAAAGAAAAATCCCGAGTTAGTTCAGCTATGGCTGATAATATGGTCTTGGTAGATGGTGGCAAGCGTGGCAAGAACTGCTGGCTGGAAAAGAAAGTTGAGGGTCAATTGTCGTGAGTCCTGAATGCCACATGCAGGAGTTTTGACCATAGTCTGTAACCAATCAGCTTCTGAAGTTTTTAAAGCAGAAAACCACACAATCAGAGCATGTTTTGACCTAGTTCCGTTCATTCAAATATTGCAAAACCCCTTTAAACTCATAATCCAGATTTTGTTGGTAAAGCAATAAATATGCTGGTAAATTTATCATTTATTAATTGGTAAAGCAATTATTTATTTATTGGTAAAGCAATAAATAAAGTAGTTAAAAAAAAAAAACTAAGGCAAGTTAGCATGAACTCCTTAACCAAATTTTTCAAAACAATTCCCTCCTCCCTTCATATTTATCTTGTCACTCCAGTTTTATTGAATTAAAGAACTGTCTAGCTTCTCACCTGTTCCTCAGATATCTGACGTAATAAGAGGAGCAGAATGGAGACATGAGTGTGTGCCCCAAGACACACACACACACACACACACACAACGAATATCTGGGAATATTCCTGAAAGGAAAGGGCAATTGGTGAGGCTGAGTTGATCTGCTTCTAAGTGCAAAATTTTAATCGAATATCAGAGTCCAGCCACAGGGGGGTGTTTTGGGGTGTGGGGGGCAGAAGAGTGCTGACCTGGGTCATGGGAACTGGGCTGCATTCTGTTCTGAGGAGTGGTCACGGCCACGCCACTTAAACTCTCCTCATTTTCTCTGCTCTGGAGAATGAGGACATCGTCCTGGACCAGCACTTCTCACTGGTCTGTGGACCAGCCGCCCGCATGCACTTGGGAGTTATGAGAAATGCAGACTTTCGGGCCCCGCCCACCTGCTGAACCAGAATCTCCTGGGGCGGCGCCCAGGGATCCCCATTGTAACAAACCCTCCAGGCCATTCCTGTGCTGATAAAAGGTTGACCAGCGCTGGCGCTGGCTATGCGGGTGGACCACTGAAGGTGCTCTTTGCTTCAGTCTTCCCCGTGTGGTTAAGAAAACCCCTCTGACTGCCCAGCATTAAACCTCACCAAGTTTCTCTGTCAGAATCAACACCAGTAGGCCCCAGCTTGCGAGGCCCTCAGGACGCCCCCGCCCGCCTCTGTGAGCAGCAGCACCTCTGCCACACTGGCCTTCTTTAGGGCCACACACATGCCGGGCTCAGTCCTGCTTGGGCCTCCACCCGCCCTCCCCTCCGTCTGGAGGGACTGACTGCCTCCCGCCATCCAGGCCTCTTTTCACACATCCATCCTCAGAGGGCCCTTCCCTGAGCTCCCATCTGATAAAGCGCTCTACTCATCTCTCACAGCCCAGTCCTCGCCCTGCATCCTAGTTCCCAGCACTGCTGTGACAAGTTACCACAGACTCGGTGGCTTAAAACAACAGAAACTGATTGTCTGGGTTCTGGAGGAAGTCTGAAATCAGGACGTCAGCGGGACCATGCCGTCTGCACTCTCCAGAGGACAATCTGTCTGTGCCTCTTCCAGCTTCAGGTGGCCCAGGCGTTCCCTGGCTTGTGGCTCGTCACTCCAGTCTCTGCCTCCGTCTTCACGTGACTCCTTCCCCGGGTCTCTCTGTGTCCTCTTCTCTAATAAGGACACCTGTCACTGGACGTAGAGCCCACCCTAAATCCAGGATGATTTCATGTCGAGTTTCTTAACTGATTTTAGCTGTGAAGATCCTATTTCCAATAAGGTGACACTCTGAGGCTCCCAGGGGACATGAATCTTTAGGGCACATTCAACCCACTGTACCCTGCTCTACTTGTCATCAAGGTAATTTCTGTTACCTGATATTACGTGCTTGCTTTTTACCTGTCTAACCTGGTAGAATAAACTCTCCCTGAAGTCAGGGAATCTGTTGCACCCACATCAATATTCCCAGTTTCCACTGGGGTGCCTAGCACCTAGCAAGCTTTTTAAGAACATCTTCTGTTGACTGAGAGTGAATGAATGCATGGATGAATCTAGTCTGTGATCCCTCCCTTTACTCTAATTTTAGCCAGACCCTGGAGCAGTCACTTCTTCCTCTCTTGCCCCTGCCCTCACCATCTCTCCTCTGCCATCTTTCTACTAAT